AATGAATTCTACTAAGATGGACTTCATGCTATCCTGCTATCCTGCAAAGACTACCAGGGATGAGCAATGGTATTTAGGCTTCTGCAATTTTTACAGGTGCTTTATACCTGATGTTGCTGAAGGTTCCAGATTTTAATTCAACCTTACTATAAAAAAGGGGGGCTTCTGCTTAAGTGGATTGCTGACTCAGGAAGCACTGTAGCATTGGAAACAAATCTTTACCTCCCAGATTTTGCTGCGCCATCTGGACCACACTCATTCTTTCATTGTGCAAATCGATGCTTCAGACTTTGCCTTAGGTGGTATTTTCCTTTAAGACACTACTGAGAGGAGAAAAGATCCCTTGCCTTCTGCCATTTATTCTACACTGCTTTTACCAGTTGAACTGAACCATGATGTTTTTAACAAGGAACTGTTAGCCATAAAATATATTTTCCAATACCAGAAAGATCTTTTACAGGGTTCAGCACATCACAAAACACTCTGAACTGATCGTAAGAACTGAGAAACCCAGAAACTCAGTAATGTCAAATCAGTTTGGTACACTCTTTTCTCAATTTTACCATTGTCCTCAGGGATTAAACATTTGACCACAATTTTGGTTATTGCGGATATTGTTATTAAGATGATGCACTTCATTAAAAAAAACAAAGTGAACAAGCAGAAATTCATTTACTCTGGGTATACCATATAAGCGGATGAAAGGACCTATCAGCCAGGTGATGTAGAATTCATCTAAGTGCCCAGCAATTTTTCCCCTGAAAGAAGATATTAATTTTCTCTTTGAGGTGTAGTAAAAATGGCAGTATAAAAATATAGGCCCAATTAATTTGATAGCACCAACACCGCAGAGACATTTACCAGTTAGAAGTATCTTCTTTCTAAAACTGACAATGGAAATGTATCAAATTTTGCTCATAAAAAAGCATTACTGTGCAAAGGAATTGAGAAAGTTGTGAAATAATTTTTGATTTGACTGGCTGCAACAAAGATACTTTTCAAAAAAAAAATCATAAGACATCACGAGAAGGGGGAATTAAGCTTAGAAAAGTAGACTAATTTAAAACTTTTTCAGCTTGGACTGACTGTGACACTAGAAATGAATGTATTATTTAAAATGAATTTTCCATTTCAAATGATTTGAATGGTTTCTACCAATTTCAAACAAAACCCTGCAAGATTGGTAGTCAATAGATTTATATGAAGCAGGAAAAAAAATCTGGTAAATCTGATTCAGTACTACCAATAGAAGGCACTGTATGACCAATTTTGGTTTTTTTGAAACCCATGGTCTTTCCTAGTCTGAAAGGATAAATGAACATGAAATGGTGTACCTGTATAATTCATAGTATTTATAGGACTGCTTTAATAATTATGACAAGGATTGGCTCTGGTGCTAATGTTTCCATGATATGGAAATAAAGAAATTACAAGGAAAAATTATCTCAAAGGTGCTTTTTCAAAAGCCAACTGGACTGTTTTTCCCCCCGAGGAAGAACATATTTTGCTTCTCATCCAAGAAGCTTCATTGGTTCTGGTGGGGAAAAAAATAGAAAATCAAGCTGAAAAAAAGAAAGAAAATCAAACTGAATTCAACAAAAAAGGTATACATTTGTCCCTAATATCATTGGCTTCACCCTTCTCAGAATTATCCCACATTTGAAAAACTTAGCTTATAAATGTGGAAATAAATACAGCTTTACAAAGGCAGGTAAATATATATTTCCAAAACTGTAAGGAATATAGATGTTGTTAATTGCATAAAAAAAACATGGATAGCATATTCACAGGTGAAATCTGCTTTCCATTGTTCAGAAAATCAGAAGAGATAATGCTTCTGTAAGAACAAAATGATAGTAAGATTTAAATTAGATGCAGAAGTGAATATATAGCCCACAGAAACATTTTAGCAATTTTCTTCTAAAAAGTTACTGTCAAGAACTCGAACCAATGTTTAGTAACCTGATAGTACGACTGGGAATAATTAATTTGGAATGCATTATTAGTGGATATCTCTGCATGACCTGCATTAGGTAGATGTTCTACGTTAGAAAGAACAGCATGTAAAAAATTAGACTTAGCTTGCTTGCTGAATATTACTGAAGTATCTGAAATAACAACAAAATATGTTATTGAATTCAAAAGTGGATGTTTTCAAGGACTGGAAACATTTAAAGAAGAATGTCACACACATGTAATACCTTGCAATCGTTGTTAGTGATTTATGGATACACAAAAGTGCCATTTGTTGTACTTAAACCTAAGGAGACATTGCTACATTTGGAAAACAGTGGGGTGTTTTCTAAGATGGAATGACCCACAAAAGGGGGTCAATAGCTTTCCTATTATTCAAAAGAATACTGGTAATATAAACATTTGTTAGATCTACAAGATTTTAATAAGGCAATCTGCAGATAAGTCATATGACACCAATCACTAATGTGGCTTTAGGTGGGGTAACAGATAAGACCTTATTTACCATCTTAGATTAAAGATAGAGAGATTGGCAAATTAAACCTCTATCACCTTGACTCAGCCAAGTAGAAAAGGACAGATGGCAATAGAAGGACTCTGCCTATACTATGCAGGACAGGGTCACCTACCAGCCATTGTCCTGCCAAGAAGACTAGACCTCCCCAGTCTAGAAGGGCAACTAGACTGGGCCAAATTGGGAGCTACTCAAACTTGGGAGCTACTATATAAATTTAATAAATAAATAAATAAATAAATAAACCCAGGCACCCTGTGCTACTCCTGCCAAGGAGTGTGAATTTGAACAGTCAACCATTGATTTCTTAGGATATATTTCTTAGAATTGTTGGTCATCCATCAAGTCTTCTACATCCAATTGGAAAAGGCTAATGAAGATTGCAAGTGATCTGAGGACAGACTCCATCAATCTGGCTCTTCTTTAGCCATCACAGATTTAGTCAAAAGATCTCACAACACAACATTGATAGCAAAAACTGATGTCTAGCTTTCTGGGCTCATTTCCATCATCAACCTAGTGGTCTTTCAAATTAAATTACCTCCTGGCATCTGTGTATATCTAGGATTCCATCATTCCCTCTTGGTACCTGCATTGGCCAAAACCCCTTACCAATCTGTGGCAACTTCTACCACCACCTATCAATTCTCAGGTGCACACCTGGTGCCTCAGCTGCTAGATGAAGTTGGTAGAGTGAATAGAGACTTGGAAGCTAATATAAAAGCTAGTATATATAAGGAAGTAGCAGAGTCTTAAAGCCTCACAAGCCTTTCAAACATGCAAACCAGCCACAGTCAGCAACAAATAATTGTTTTCTCCTTCATAAACTGATCATCATCATCATTTTAGCCATTGCCTATCCACTGTAAGATGAAGGCCTCTTCCTCATGTTTCCAATCAATATGGTCCTGAGCTTTCTTTTGCCAATTGGGCCAGCTATACTTGCTGATGTCATTGATCCATCTTATTTTAGGTCTCTTTCATGGAAGCTTTTTATCAAGTAGGGTCCATTCTGTGATGGCCTTGGTCCACCTGCCATCAGTTCTTGCTATGTGACCAGCCCGTTTCCATTTCAACTCTCTTATTCTCTTGATGATATTGTATAGTTTTGTTTGTTCTCTAATCCATGTGCAGGTCTTTCTAGCTTGTCTTGTAATGCTGACCATGTATCTTTCCATGGCTCTTTGCGCCACTCGTAGCTTTTGTATTGATTGTGAGGTTAGTTAGTTTTCGATCAGTGTGTGCTACCTGCTCTTAACACATGATGATGAAACATGGACATTAACCTCATAAACTGATAAGATCTTTTAAAACTCTGAAATTACTGTAAATCCAAAAGTGATTAGAAAGTGAGATTAGATAAACCCAGTGTCTTAAAAAGCTCCACCATGGTTGAGAGCTTGTTGACTTCTCTTGTCTCCTGATGGATGTCATCCTTTCCTTGTTTGGAGAGATTTCTGTCAGTTTTTAATATCTTGGCTCTTTCTGAAATGTCTAGACTAGGTTTGGCTAGTCTAAAGAAAAGAAGAAATAGGGGAGACATGATAGCAATGTTCCAGTATCTGAGGGGCTGACACAAGGCAAAGGGGGTCACCAAACAAAGCACCAGAGGGAAGGACGAGAAACAATGGTTGGAAACTGATCAAAGATAGAAGCAACCTGGAATTAAGAAGAAACTTCCTGACAGTGAGGACAATCAATCAGTGGAACAGCTTGCCTCCAGAAATCGTGGGTGCTCCATCAGTGAAGATTTTTTAAGAAGAGACTAGACATTTACCTGTCTGAGATGGTATAGGTTCTCCTGCTTGAGCAGGGGGCTGGACTAGAAGACCTCTAAGGTCCCTTCCAGCTCTATTCTATTCTATTCTATTCTATTCTATTCTAGTCTAGTCTAGTCTAGTCTAGTTCACCATTTTCTCCCCAGAAGTCAACCCCCCCAAATGTTCAGTTATCCCTAAAGTTATTTATAGAAGTAGTGAAAGTGGGAAAATGAAATGGAGAAAACAAAAATAAATTAGCACCTCAAAATGACCACTGTCTTCCCATTTCAACTTGACCTAGATTGCTCTCTTTTCTCCTTTTCCTGATCCCATCTCAAATTAATCATCCTCACCCACAGGCAGAGCCTTCTATAATCCTATCTCTATAATCCACACTCAGTTGCAATGGAGATTAGCATTTTTACTTCAAGGCTGAAGATATAATAGCGAACAAAGAATGTAAGCAAAACAGAATCTTGCTTGAAAAGTTTACTTTTAATAGGAGCAGGCAGAACAGTCCAAATCCAAACCAGAGTTTTGAAAGTCAGGTCAGAAGTTCAAGGTTTTTTATACAAATAGGATTCACAGGAATGTCATACAGGAGTCAGAGATCAGGCATTGTTTCCCGCAAAGGGAACATGGATCAAAGCTCCTTCTTAAATCAGATGTAGCCAACCATCATCAATCAAGAGATTTACTTCCTTGCTTGGCAAGAAGCTCCATGGAACATCTCTGCTCTCCTCTCTACTGACTGGGTTCAGGCCTGGGAGACTTTATGTCATTGTCATTTGACTGTTCCAACGATTTGGGTGATGCCGGTGTTTGATCAGCCTCGTGTGATTCTTGATTTGGTATCTCCTGAGGCTGACATTCCAGATGCCCAGCTGGAGCAGCTTCTTCCAATTCAGATTCAGAATCTGAATCCTGAGTGTGGGTCATGATATCGTCAGAAGAATAGAAGCTGTGCTTACCAAATCTGAATTAAGTCCAAGGGCAGCCTAGCAAAGAAATTGTAACGCATAGCAAAATGAGAAACTACAATGTTCCATTGTCAATTGAGTTATCACGTCTGGTTATTCCCTTAAAATGGATTCCTTCCTCTGCCCAACTGCCTCTCAAAGTCCAGCTTTTATCTGACAATAGACATTAGCTACACCAGTGGTTCTCAACCTTTTTAATGCCGCGACCCCAACCGGTCGTAAGCCGAGGACTAAACTGGTCATAAGTCGAGGACTAAACCGGTCGTAAGTCGAGGACTAAACCAGTCGTAAATCGAGGACTGCCCAACCGGTCGTAAATCGAGGACTTTCCCTGCCCAGGAGCGCTGCGCATGTGTGGTTCAGCCCCCTGCGCCGGCCAAGGCGTAGCTGGCAAGCGGCAGAGACTGAGCAGGCCGACCACCAGCTGGCCCAGCCCAAGGGAGGTAAGGTACCAGCCGGAAAAGGGGGAAAAAATGGCAGACAATAAAAATGGCGGACAGCGTTGCTTGGCGACCCCCATGAAATGGTCGATTGACCCCAAATGGGGTCCCGACCCACAGGTTGAGAACCACTGAGCTACACAATCATTTTCATTTATAAGGATCCACCTAGCCCCCCCCCCCCGCCCCGTTCAAGAAATTGGACCTCTCGGGTTTTCCCACCCTACAATCTCTCCATTTCTATATGAAAGTCTTGTTTTCCCTTTGTTTGGACTTCCTCTTTCTTGTAAAGCAGGGCCCAACAATCATTGCAGTAGTAACTGTGATTCTTCTCTGTGTTGTGTTGCTTCTTTTTGGTGGCATCCACAATACACATTACTCTGAATTGTTATTCAGTATATAAGATTATGTGATATATTACAAATGAATCTATGTTTTGTTGAATTATTTTAATTTTCTCTCCTTTCCCAGCTTCCCATCACAAGGAAGATGTGATGCTAAGTTTGTTTTATTGTGTACCTTTTATGTGTGCAAGAAATGGTGCTCATGTTGATAAGAACATTCATAGATTTCCAGAACAACCTACAGGTATGGGCTGGCATACATTCCCCAAAGAGGCAAGCTTCTTTATACTTTTAACAAACTTCTTCCTGGAAGAATAAATCTAATAAGTAAAGAAGCACGAAAGAAAAACAAAGCCCATTTTCAGTTCCAGCATAAAAATTTAATTGAGGGAGGAGGGTGTACAAGGTATACAACCCAAAAGCACAAGCTAGTTCTATTCAAGGCTCACTATTGAATCTAATTTAAATAAAGACCATCTTAAAAAACCCAAACTGTTTGTTTGAGAGAAGAAAACTTGATTTATTTCCAGCTCTCAGGGTGAATATTCCTCAGGAGAGCAGCAAGAAAACATTTCACAAGCAGCAGTTGCTTTGAAATTTCAGATGCGTTTTGCATATTTTATTAAAATGCTATTTTAACATATATTTTTTTTCTTACAGTATTATTTATCGCTGGGGTGAATATATGTTTTCCAATATGAAAATATGATATATGATTTATGTACGCAGATAATACATGTGGTATAATTGTAGGGAAATATTTGTACACAGTAATTATGATTTGCCCTAGTTTATATGCTTAACTGGCTCATACGCCTTTGTATTTCTGGATGCCTGGGTCAGGGGAACAAATTCAAAACTTTTAATGAGACCAAGTTTTTAAACATACTAAATCTTCTCCAAAGCTAGCATTCATATGTAGTACAAGGGTATTCCAATTACATAAGGCACCTTCTGTATCTAGTTTGTGTTTTGGCATTGTGTTTCTACTGGAAAAGATCTGCTTTTCTCTTTGCAAGTATATACCAAATCCAACAAAAAGCCACATCAGCTGGAAGGATGGTGGCAGAAGGCAGGAAGAAACCTTTTATGCCCTGTGTCATTCTTTCTTCCTTATCTTCAGACAGAATCAAATAATCCAGTGTATCTGGCTGGTGCCAAATTAGGGAAAGCTGGATTAGATATCCTTTGAGAAAAATTAGAATTTAACACAGCAGAACGTTATTGTGAATTCTCCACGGACACCTCTAAAAGAACAACCCATTGTAAGGAGGTATATAAAAAAAATTGTTATTTTTTTTTTCCTATATAGGGAAAGCTATACCCACCACCCTTGAGTGCAGAAACAGAGATGATGTGATCCTTGATTCATTCCCAGTCCATGGCAAATGCAATCTGCACCGACATTTTACACTTCTAGTTCACACGTTATTTTCTGACCAGAAACACCTTAAGGCAGTGGTGGCGAGCCTATCGCACGCATGCCAGAGGCGGCACTCACAGCCTTCTCTGTGGGCACGCGCAGCATGCCCCGGAGATGGCAACTGTCCCTCTTCAACCAGCTGCCCGCTAACTCGCCGAGGTCCCACGTGGCTGGATGCATCCCAGCACCCATGCGCTCGCTGACCTGTGTGTGCAGGGGCCGATGGTGTCAGGCAGCAGCCGCCCTGGCCCCTGTCTCACCTTGCCCTGTGACAATGGCGCCTCCTGCCCACCGCCCCACCTGCCAGAGACCCCCTGGATCTCCCCCAACCCTGCCCGGCCCCCACAGGCGTCCCTCCCCACAAGCAACATCGAGGTGATCACGCCCACCTTGGCCACACCCACCCAATCTGCCATGACCACCACAGCTACGCCCATCCAGAGGGCCATGCCCACCTGGCACCTGGCGATAAATAAGTGGGTTTTGGGTTGCAGTTTGGGCACTCAGTCTCTAAAAGGTTCGCCATCAATGCCTTAAGGCCTTCAGAATGCATACTTTATAGCACTTAAATCTAGTGACAGTTGCTGCCCTTAGCCTGCTAATTTCTTAGCTGTTTGGCAGCTGGCATTTTTTAATTAACATGTGCTTGATCCAATAATGGCCTCTTTTATTTACTTATTTGATTGATTGATTGATAAAACTACCCAGCTCAAACACTGTGTCTCTGAGTAGTGTACAATAACAACAAAACAAACATTAAGCCAAAATAAGAATCACATAATGTTAAAACAGATACAATTAAAATTTGAATATTAATTATAAAATGACATTATAATGAAAGAAAATCAGAACGGGACTCTTGTCAACTGGCCCCAAAGGTCTGGGGGAAACCCCAGTCTTAACAGCTTTCCTAAAGGAAAGCAGGATCATGTTATATATGAGTGAGATCACTGCAGAGAATGGGCACACACCAAAAGGCTGCCTAGGTCTCCTACGATACAAAGATTTAAAAGACAAAATCTGGATCATGTCCTTCTTGTGGGAACATATTGGCGGGCAGATATTGTTGGAAGAAGGCAGTCCCACAAGTAGCCTGGTCCTATGCTATATATAGCTTTAAATGTGATAATCAGCACCTTGAATTATAACCAGAAGCCTCCTGGAAGCCAATGCAATTTATAGAGCAGCAGTGTTGCGTTGGCGTAATGAGCTGGGCCCGTAACTATTTGCACCACTGCATTCTGAACCAACTGAAGTTTCTGGGTGTTTTCATAGAGTACATTGCAGCAGTTCAAACAGGAGGTACCTAAGGTATGAGTGACCATGAGCAGGAATGGGTGCAACTGGCACACACAAGATGCAATTGTGTAAAGGCCCTGCCTGGCTATAGCTGCCAGGTGCTTTTTGAGCAGAGCTGTGAGTCCAGGAGAACCCCCAGATTACATACCAATGGCTAACAGGGTAATGCCACCCCATTCAGAACCGAAGATGGAAATACTTCAGCTATTGAATCCACGAGACCCCCAAATCCATTAAATCTCAGTCTTGGCAGGGTTGAACCACAATCTGTTGTTTCCTACTATCTCCTCATATATAATCAATTTCCCTTTAAATTCTTTTTGTAAAATCAGGTGCTGGAAAAATCTTCAGAATTGATCTCTTCTTCTTACTAAAATCAATATAAAATACAGTTATGTGCATTAAATTGTTTTAAAATTGTAAATAATTTTTAAATTGTTTATTATTGCTTATCCTTTTCACATGGTTTTTTATTATGTTATCTTTGTACTGTATCTGACTTTGTACATAACCTACAGCAGTGAGGCAATTTATATACGTTATAAACAAATGAATAAATTACTGCAATAATACAAGTGTTTAAAGCCAGCTGGCTCAACAAGGACATTAAAACATACTTGGAAGCAATTTTTGAAAGAAAGCACATATAGAAAGCACCTGTTTTTCTATATTAAAACAAATCCTATATTAGCATTCTTTTCTGTGCTTTGAAAAAAATAGTTTCATTTATGTGTTAACTAAATGACAAAGTTTAAGGTAGTTTGTGCTTTAAAAAAAAGTATTTATGCTTCCAAACTTCAGTTTAAATGTAGTGGAAAGTCTGTATTTGACCAGGAGTCTTGCTACAAGGAGCTACCTTGTAAAGTTAACCGGCTTTGACAAGCCCAGATGTTGTTCTTTTCTCCAAACCAGTGACTTGATGGAGCTCAAAGTGATCATGGAACTATGATTTCTACATTTTCAGCTCTAATAGGTAAGCACATTCATCCAATAATACGCACCAAGGAAATGCATGCCATGAATTCTCCTGACCATTGAATTGTTCAAAAGATTAATCCTTTATCTGTAACTCAGTGTACATCAATACAAGACAATGGGATAATTTGAAATGTAATAATCTGTCATATATTGGCTACTTCCAGTTCTCCATTGAATTGGTTCATCTTTATTTTATATTTTGTACCTTGTTTCCATCTGTAATTCATTTGTTTTATGGCATTTTTAGCTTTAAAAATAAAAAGGTTGATATTGTACGTTCTGAAATTATTTACTAGGCTAATGTAAGGGGTAAATAAGTTCTCTTTCAGACATAATATTTGCCTTTGAGATTACTCCACTGGAAAACAACAAATGGAAATGGAAAAGGAGAAATAAATGTCCAAAGAACTGCACCAGCATGGAAGAGTGGGACAAATTTTATAACCAGAAAGTTATAGAAGACAAAGAAGAATCA